GGTTTACAGTAATTTGAGATATCAGTTTTTGAGATACTGAAGTTTTACTGCATTGAAGACAAAGTTGATGTCGTTCAACATTATTCTCTATCCTTCATTTCCAGTAATAAAATCTTAATTTTTGCTGCAGCATAATATCATAAAAACTCAATGATTTTTATTTTATAAAACTGGTACATTTTATTTTTCAGGTGCATGACAGAGCCATTTCATTTTTCAATGATCTTTGCAAAGAATTGGTCAATGAAAAATCGATTACAAAAAATGAGTAAGTAAACAATGGAATTATCTATAAAATTCTAAGTAGCTACAATTATACAGAGTTAATGTAATTAATAAAAATGATTCTTTGTATTACGTTTCAGAAAACGAAGCCATTCTGAGAGTGAATCATCATTATCTTCTAGTCAAAGAGCAGGGAATGTTAAACCAGTCAAGTCTATAAAAACTGTCTCCCCACTTAGATTTCACAGGAGAACGACGGAGATTGGAGAAATTATTATGCCAAGTACAGTTACGGTAGACAGTATAAATATAGTGACAAGGGCAGATAACTCTAGGACACTAGAAGAAAATGAGGAAGAATTTATTGTTTTTCAAGATGATCCTTCTAATTCTGAGAGTTCTGAAAAATTGAATAAGTGTGATACATCGAAAAATCATATCTCTACAAAATCTCAGTTGGACAAGAAACATAATGGTTTTAATGCAACAATTTCTCAGAATGGGAGGGCTTTAAAAGATTTAATTAGTGACTCTGAAAGTCTGGAGGACTGGCCTACTGCTGCAGATGTTCTCATAGTCAGCCATGGCGGCCTTATCAAAGAACTGGTCAAGTTTTTTATTGATAAACTGAACTGTAAACTTCCAGGAGGTAACAGAAATGGACTGCGAATCTGTCATAACTGCAGCGTTTCCAAATTCCTTGTGTCTGTTCCGACTGAGGATCGTTCTGACCATAGAGTCACTTGTTTATTTTCAAATAGCAAGGAACACTTGCAGGGTCTGGGCATTGAGTTTGCAGAAGGGAAATACTGAAAATTACTTATTTCCACCCACCCACCCTTCCCGACACCATATTTGAATTTTGTCCAGAATATTCCAGTCAAGGGCATGAATTGTATCAATCTTAAATCTATTTTCTATGGAATTTTATATAAGTTTTAATAAATTTAAACAGAATCTTGATGCATCTTTTTTTCCATTATCTTAAAAGAGATATGCTTGCTGGTACTATTCAGTCAAGCCAGAAAAAGTCTGGAGCAGCCATGTTGTATTCAAATTCCATTCTCTACATGTGATATTTATCCTAGTTGTTTTCAGTCATCTCCTGGTGGAGTAGTAGTAGTTGTTGTTGTGGTGGTGGTTGTAGTTGGCATTGTAGGATCAACTGAGAAAAATGTACAGAAAAAAGTCAATTGAAAGTCAACAGCAAAACAAAACGTACATACAGTAGGTAATATATGCATATCAACCTAATGTTTTATAGAAATTGTACAAGAAAAACTGCACCTAACATACTATTAGTTTTATTTTCAAGTATGCTTAAAATCTTTAAATTCTATTGCCCTGTATTTTAAAGCCTATTTACTATTTAGTTGTACTTTAACTCTCATTTTCTAACTTAAGAAAAACAGATACCTATGGCAAAATGTCTTGGCTAGATTTACATGTGGTTCAAGTTTTACATTAAGAGCACTCTCTACACTTGACTTCAATCAAACTTTTACATAAGGCCACGTAAAGCCTTCAATTATGTCCTTGCTTTCATGCACCCCATATACAATTATTCCCCCTAAACATGTATATCCAAGGAAAATCGAGTTATTTTGAAATTCTGAGAAGTAGGAGAAGCCTATTCAATGTTCAGAAGGTGCTTTGTCAGGATGCTATTTTGACCATTTATACTATAAACAAGAACCATCTACAGTAAAACTCATTAAGTATGAAATCGAGTATTGCGTTGTCAGGATGCTATTTTGACCATTTATACTATAAACAAGAACAATCTACAGTAAAACTCATTAAGTATGAAATCGAGTATTGCGTTGTCAGGATGCTATTTTGACCATTTATACTATAAACAAGAACCATCTACAGTAAAACTCATTTGGTATGAAATCGAATATTGCGAATTCACTGATATAACGAAGTTATCTAGGATCCCGAGCTATTTTAATTTAACAAACTCCTTATATGGATATAACAAACTGCGGATACAACGAAATAATTTCATAGGTGACTTCGTCATAACCGAGTTTTACGGTTACCGTATATTGGTCGCAAACTTACCGTACACTGTTATGTCGCTGCTGGCTGTGAAGGTGTCCAGATTTGTAATGTGTCGGTTTAACTGGAAACACTCACGTCTCACGAGACCTGCCATTGTAAAAGATAACCTTGCAGTCTATACTGGAACACTGGGACAAACAGTCCAGGAGACTTCCCACATCCTTTGGAGCACTGAGTTCGCCGCTGACCAGTAGGCTGTTTTGTTTCTCTGGGAACTGTTGAAAATTGTGCACCTCTGTCACACACTTAATGTAATCTGTAGTAAAAGAAGTTCATAAGTTATATATTGTTTTTATGGAATTTTTATTATTTTTCATTCCCATTTTCATTTTCTTTCCAAAACCAAAAAGGTAAATCAGCTTTTATGTAAGGGGCATTCAATTTTTCTTACGAATTAAGGAATGCCATCTTGAAGAAAATTAAGGTGTCAAATAATGTGAATAAAAGCGGTTTTTATGAAAATAAATGATCCACTCTTTTTTTCTGGGATGGAGGCTTCCTATCTTTTCTCAGTGTAGTGTTTTGCTGATGTATAATTTGTAAATTTTCGACTGCCTGCTGGTCGCCTAGCTTAATTCACCTATTCTTGTTTCTGTTCAGTCAAATACTGGCAAAGTCTATCATATTTCTATTTTCAAAAAATATCAAAAGAGGGAGGTTCTCCTCCCTTTTTAGCCATGCAGGCTCATTTTTTGAAAGTTTGCCCCCGTTTGTCCGTCCGTCCGTCTGTCTGTGCAATCGTGTCCGGTCCATATCTTTCTTACAGAGGGACATTAGAATCTACTACTCCACACAAAGATTGCCCATGACCTAAGGGTGTGTAATGACCTTGAACCAAGGTCATTTGGGGAAGTTCAAGGTCACTGGAAGAAAAATTTCATAATTCGTGTCCGGTCCATATCTTTCTTATGGAAAAACTTACTTCTGACAAACCCAGCGGGGGTATTTTGTCCCGTTTGGACAGTTCTAGTTTTTTTTTTGAATCCGTATATATTTGTCGTTAAGAGTTACACTAATTATATCTCATTAGAATATTTCATATTTAGTGGTATCTATTTTATATTGCAAAATAAATTATTCTAAAAATCATGAAAAAATTGACGGCAAAAAAGAGAACCTTCTCTTATAGTAATTCCACCCTCCTATGATGTCATAGGTTTTTGCAAAAACTGTTTTTAGTTTAAATTAATACCTGATAGAACAATATCTTTTGGAGGAATGCTTTTCAATAGGTGTAATGATAAATATTGTAAAGTAAAAGAATTTAAAATAAGCATTTTTTTTATTTAATCAATTATTCAATCTTTAAAAAATGTTGACAAGGGCAATAACTCCTTCTCAGGTCTCTTCATTCGTGCATTTGCTTTATTATACTTCTAATGTAACATAGTTTCCCTGATATTCTCAATTCAAAATAATCTTATAAGTAGAAAGTATTTAGGAACATACAGCATCAGAAATATGCATTTTAACCAGTTTTTACATATTTCTCATAATACTGTTTACAAAAAAATGTGCGATATTGTTGTTGACAAATACTTCTGTCTATTTCTGTCTCACACCTTAAATAATATGGCGACCTATGCATTTTTTGCAATAATTGAAAAATTTAAAATTTATTAAATAAAAATAAATGCAGTTTTTGTACTTTGAACCATTAGAATTGCGAGGGTGGAAATAACTTAAATGGTTATTTTATTTTCATTAACACTATATAAAGATAATCATGACTTGTGCTAAAGTAGGACATTAAAAAGAATACATGATTTTTAGCGATCTAATTATATAACTGTAACAATAAATTATCTTTTTAAACATTACTGACTTTCAACGGCATAAAAGGGTATTTTGGTATTGTCTGTTGCCTCACCCATTAGGCTTTCCAACGAAGTATTGTGCAAAGCAACGCTTTTTTTAACAAAATGTCCCGACTTTTGATGTTTATATTTTTGCACAATAATAAAATATTTATAAATTTATTCTAAAGCCCATTTTCTTGCAATATCATTGTGATATAAGCAATATTAAACAAAGTCATTATATTTTTTTCCATAAATGACTGATGTTTTGATTACATTTTCAATAATTAGTTTGTGAGGTTTTTGTCTTTAGAAATGAATCTATGGAATTTTATAAATCAAACAAAACAAACAGAAAATCTCCAAAGTCATGAATATTAGTGCCTAAGATTTTGGAAAAAAAGTACTCATATGAAAACCGATCTCCCCGGAAACAGACTATTTTTTTAATTAAAAATGTCCAAATATATGTCAAAAAAGGACTACAGAGACAAAATGAGGATGCTGACTGGAAATATTGTGTACGTGACTCTCAGAACACATAAAAATTACGTTATGTTGAAAACTACTGCTGATGTTCAAACTTTAAGAATGTCTGTCATAAAAAAAAATAACTGATTAAAAATTACATAAACTTGCAAGATTTATTACGGGTTTGTAACCCTTTATTTTCAAATTATTAAATACATTATGCATTTCTTATATATGTAATGCATATGATTAAAATAAATCATTTTGTCTAATAAAACTATTTATTTTCTGTCTTCAAATGTACAAAATACAGGTAAATCCAAGATGGGATGTAATTACTGTAGTAAAATTATTATATAAACATTTATTGTTATTTGCAAGAGGGAATAGGTGGAATTGAGATTTTTAAAAAGTGGGAAAAGGTAGAAGACACCGGTGGAAGACGTCGCACTGATTGAGGGGCATGTCAAAATTACATCAAACGCAACCGAGATAGTGTACCCCCTTTCAGGTAGAGACAGGATGTGTACAATACATTTAATGACACCTGTGATTCTAAAACAATGAAGCCCTTTTCAAAAGACACCTGAGATTCACACCTTTTGTTTTATAGCATGGGAAACATTTTAACTACAATTCAAATACAATGAAATTGCATTCAATTCCTGAGTTTCAGGAATTCTGAAATGCGTTCAACGTTCTCTTTTCATGTATTTTTTTAAATATATAACTGATTCAATCCATAAACAATTAAACACGTCAAAACTGCTTCTTATTTCATTCTTGGAGCAAAAAGTTACAAATTTTAACCATCATGAAGAAAATATTAGAAAAAACACCCCCCTAACTAAAGCTGCTAAAAAACAAGAAATTGCATGCATTGAATAATCCGACAGATGCATCAAAACAAAGTTTATAAGAAAAAGTAACTTAACTCAGGTATTTATAAAATTAAAGACTGAACTATTTCGCTTAGAAATATAAATTTTCGAATTTAACCAAATTGTATTTTATTTTTACATTTAAATGATAACATTATGCAGTATATGTACATTATCCCTAACACATCAATACACATTGGTTAAAATTGAAAAATTATTTTTTAATTCAAGAAATGATATTTAGTTAAAATAAACATGAAGACATGATAAATAGATAGCATTGCCGGCTTTGAAAACATTCTGCTTGAAAATAAATCTGGAACCAGGGATGGGGTAATCGTAATCAGTAATCGTAATAGCTGTAATCGATTACAATTTGCCAAGTAATCGTGAGTAATCAGTAATCACCCATTTTTCTGATTACAAGTAATCGTAATTTAATCGATTACTCTGAAAAAAGTCCTGTAATCATGATTACTTTTTGATTACTTTATGATTACAATTATTAAAACAAAGTTCATTAAATAATGATTTCTGATGATACTCAGTGAGCAAAAGTTATTATAAACAGGTCCAGGAAAATCACTATATTTAGTTATATAGGTATATCTACCTATATAGCTTTATTAACCTATAAAATATAGCTATATTTAGCTATTTTGGAATACATTTCTGTTTTATGAAAAGCAGCCAAAAAAGTCGCATGTAAATTATGTCTGATATATTTTTTAAAAGGATTGATAAAAACAACCTAGGGCATAGATAGTAAAAACATTGCCTCTTATAAACACTTTTTAACCAAAAAATGCATCTCTATTGTTTGGATAGCTGGAAGTGCGGTGACGCATGACTAAGTGTGATTGCCTTGCATTGTGCTCAATTATTACCAATCAATTATCTTGTTGACCAAAACTGCTTTTCTTTGTTAAAGTAGCTGCTTACTCACAGATTAACTGTTACACATAGCCCCAAAACTTTTGGATCTTTGATTGTAATTGCACAAAAGGAGAAACATTTTTATAAGTGGGTTTTTGGTGAATTGTTTTCAGTCCATTTCAAAGTTGAAAACTAATACTGACTCATTATGCGACTTTTTGTCTGCTTTTCATAAAACTGAAACTTGTTCCAAAATAGCTAAATATAGCTATATTTTATAGGTTAATAAAGCTATATAGGTAGATATATATAGCTAAATATAGTGATTTTTAGATAAAATTATAAGCTATTTTAGTTAGGTGTCTTGTTCTAATGCTTCCAGAAATGCTTATAATCAGTATTCTTTATTTTGTTTTTTTGGTTTCAATCAATTAACAATTGTGTGAAATGCAACATTTTGTTTTCCCTATAAAAATATTTTTTAATAAACATGTTTTTTTTAATATCAAATATTCCTTTATTGTATTCTAAAAATCACTTTGATTTTCTGTGTTTTTGTTCAATTAGTAATTTTACTAAAGTCGGGTCAGCTTGGGTTATAACAATTATAGAACTATCAATGCTTGCCCAGTCAAAGTGTTAATTCTTGTAAAAACATCTAGTAATTGGCAGTATACCCCTTTATATACTATATATATATATATATATATATATATATATATATATATATATATATATATATATATATATATATATATATATATATATACTGAATTAAAAACATTCTGTTGTTCTTGAACATTAAACAAAAAAAAACTTAATGTAATCTAAAGTAATCATAAGTAATCATGATTACATGAATGAAAAGTAATCAGATGTAATTGATTACTCTAAAAAATGTCTGTAATCGGCTTGTAATCGATTACTTTTAAAATCCAAAGTAATTGTAATTTAATCGATTACTATTGAAAGTAACACCCCATCCCTGTCTGGAACGACTTTATTTATTAAACAATTAGAGGATGGTAATAGAAAAACAACATAAATTCATCATCAATCTGTTTTAATTATTTTACAACATACATGCTGGTATTGTTTGTTTAATACTTACCCGATAGTCTTCATTTTTCTTTTCAACCTGTCACGTGGCGCAACAGGGGTATAAATAAAGATACCTACCTGCGGCCAGGTGCGACCACAACGCGTTCCCCATTAGATGAAGTAAATACGTGATCATTTGAAAATTTAGAAAGTAGTTTGTTCTAGTCGGTAAAGGCATGGGGCACGTTTTACAAATGAACTTACGACTAAGACCATTTTTTTTTCTTCTAAATTTTGCAAAATTAAGAATTCTCTTCAAAATTATTTTATTAGAGAGTTTTATATATATATATATATATATATATACATGTATATATATATATATATATATATATATATATATATATATATATATATATATATATATATATATATATATATATATATATATATATATACAGTTAAAAAGTGTCAATTTTCTAAAAGAAAGGGCGTACTTTTATGAAGGCGGACATTACGAGACGATATTTACAATCCGGAATATTGTTTTAACGGCGGACACAATGTGATCAGTGACGAGTTTACCGAGAAAAGACGGACATTTCTTGGCGGCGGACATAATCTGACGATTTTTTTTTTTCGAAAGAAAGGCGGACTTTTCCTGGCGACGGACAATATTACGATTTGTTTTAGAAGGTATGTGGGTATTTTGTGGCGGGGGACATAATATTACGATTTGTCGGGAAGAAGCGGACATAGTGTGACGATTTTTCTGAAAATGAGGCGGACATTTCGTGACGGCGGACATAGTGTGACGATTTTTCCGAAAAAGAGGCGGACATTTCGTGACGGCGGACATAACGTGACGATTTTTCCGAAAAAGTGGCGGACATTTCGTGACGGCGGACATAACGTGATGGCGGACAAAACTTGACTCAACATATGCATCTCTCAACAACAGATCAAAAAAGGCTTTATTGCTAGAATTAATCATTGGAAACTAGTTTTTTGCTCGGTAAATCTCGAAATAAAGTCATCACAAATAAAAGTTGGTTTACAGTAATTTGAGATATTGGTATTTGAGAACCGAAGTTTTACTATGCATTGAAGACAGAGTTGATGTCCTTCAACATTATTCTCTATCCTTCATTTCCAGTAATAACATCTTATTTTTTGTTGCAGCATTATATTAAAAAAAACTCAATGATTTTTTTTTATTTCGGAACTGGTACACATTTATTTTTCAGGTGCATGACAGAGCCATTTCATTTTTCTATGATCTTTGCAAAGAATTGGTCAATGAAAAATCGATTACAAAAAATGAGTAAGTTAACAATAGAATTATCTACAAAATTCTAAGTAGCTACAATGATACAGAGTTAATGTAATTAATAAAAATGATTATGTTTTGTTTCAGGAAACGAAGCCACTCTGAGAGTGAATCATCAGTATCTTCTAGTCAAAGAGCAGGGAATGATAAACCAGTCAAGTCTATAAAAACTGTCTCCCCCATTAAATTTCACAGGAGAACGACGGAGATTGGAGAAATTATAATGCCAAGTACAGTTACGGTAGACAGTATAAATATAGTGACAAGGGCAGATAACTCTAGGACATTAGAAGAAAATGATGAAGAATTTATTGTTTTTCAAGATGATCCTACTGATTCTGCAAGTTCTGTAAAACTGAATAAGTGTGATAAATCGAAAGATCAACTTTCAACAAAATCTCTGTCGGACAAGAAACATAATGGTTATTCTGCAATGTTACCTCAGAATGGGAGGCCTTTAAAAGATTTTCTTATTGATTCTGAAAGTCTGGGGGACTGGCGGCCTACTGCTGCAGATGTTCTCATAATCAGCCATGGTGGCCTTATCAAAGAACTGGTCAAGTTTTTTATTGATAAACTGAACTGTAAAATCCCAGGAGGTAACAGAAATGGACTGCGAATCTGTCATAACTGCAGCGTTTCCAAATTCCTTGTGTCTGTGCCAACTGAGGATCGTTCTGACCATAGAGTCACTTGTTTATTTTCAAATAGCAAGGAACACTTGCAGGGTCTGGGCATTGAGTTTGCAGAAGAGAAATACTGAAAATTACTAATTTCCACCCCCCTTCTTCCCCCCCTCCCGACACCATATTTGAATTATGTCCAGAATATTCCAGTCAAGGGCATGAATTGTAACAATCTTAAATCTATTTTCTATGGAATTTTATATAAAATTTAATAAATTTAAACTTAAAAGAATACTTTTTACATGCATCTTTTTTTCCTAAATGTTTGTACTTTTACACATAAATAAGAACGATAATAAATGTGCTAAATAAAATCTACGCTAACTTGTTCAAAACTCAATTTCTGCGAAATATCGTACACTCTAAATATAATACATTTACAGTTGGCTTGCTGGTACTGTTCATGCAAGCAAGATGAAGTCTGGAGCATCCATGTTGTATTCAGATTCCATCGTCTACAACTGATATTTCTTAGTTGTTTTCAGTCATCCCCTGGTGATGGTGTAGTAGTAGTAGTAGTAGTAGTAGTAGTAGTAGTGGTTGGAACTGTAGGATCAACTGAGAAAAATGTACAGAAAAAGTCAATTTCGAGACAACAAAACAAACAGCACATAGGTAATATTATTCAAAAGTTTAAATATAGAACTTGTACAAGAAAAAGTTGTATGTAACATAGTTTTATTTTTCAAGTCTGTCTGTCTGTTTAAAATCTATAAATTCTATTAATGTTCATAAATTTTCAGAAGTACCAATCCTGAATATTTAAGGTAAAACCCTGTACATGTATTTTAAAGCCCATTTAGTTGTACATTGACTCTCGTTTCTAACTCAAGAAAAACAGATACCTATGGCAAAATGTCTTGGCTAGATTTACATGTGGTTCAAATTTTACATATAAAGGAGGCTAGGGGGTCAACAAATTATTTTTTATTATCCACCAGATATAACTTAAATTTTTGGATATGGCATCTTAAGCTGTCAACTATACACTATCTACACTTGACTTCTATCAAACTTTTACATAAGGCCATGTGAAGCCTTCAATCATGTCCTTGTTTTCATGCACCCAATATAAATTTATTCCCTCTATACATAATTATGTATCTAAGGAATAATAGTTATTTTGAAATTCTGAGAAGTAGGAGAAGCCTATTAAATGTTCAGAAGGTGCTTTGTCAGGATGCTATTTTGACCATTTATATACTATTAAGAAGCATCTACAGTTAAACTCATCTAGTATGAAATCGAATATTGCAAATTCACTGATATAACGATGTTATCTAGGATCACCAGCTATTTTAATTTAACAATTCCTTATATGGATATAACGAACTGCGGATACAACGAAGTCATTTCATAGGTGACTTCGTCATAACCGAGTTTTACGGTATATTGTTCTCAAACTTACCGTACACTGTTATGTCGCTGCTGGCTGTGAAGGTGTCCAGATTTGTAATGTGTCGGTTTAACTGGAAACACTCACGAGACCTGCCATTGTAAAAGATAACCTTGCAGTCTACACTGGAACACTGGGACAAACAGTCCAGGAGACTTCCCACATCCTTTGGAGCACTGAGTTCGCCGCTGACCAGTAGGTTGTTTTGTTTCTCTGGGAACTGTTGAAAATTGTGCACCTCAGTCATACACTTAATGTAATCTGTAGTAAAAGAAGTCCATAAGTTATTGTTTTATGGAATTTTTATTTTTTTCATTCCCATTTTCATTTCCTTTCCAAAACCAAAAAAAGGTAAATCAGCTTTTATGTAGAGGACATTCAATTTTTCTTACGAATTAAGGAATGCCATCATGAAGAAAATTAAGGTGACAAATAATGTGAATAAAAGCGGTTTTTATGAAAATTAATGACCCACTCTTTTTTTTCTGGGATGGGGGCTTCCTATCATTTCTTAGTGTAGTGTTTTGCTGAAGTATAAATTTGTAAATTTTCGACTGCCTGCTGGTCGCCTAGCTTCACCTATTCTTGTTTCTGTTCAGTCAAATACTGGCAAAGTCTATCATATTTCTATTTTCAAAAAATATCAAAAGAGGAAGGTTCTCCTCCCTTTTTTTGCCATGCAGGCTCATTTTTTGAAAGGTTGCCCCCTTCTTTTAAAGCACTATTGCTAAGGAACAGTTTTGAATGTAGGTAACCAGACCAATTCGTAGTTGGACACAATTGGTTACAATGGACGGTCAAGGTTTCACGTGGGAGTATATAGGTAACTTTTTCTTTTAGAGAAGATAGCATCACAACAGATTTTTTTTAAAGTCTTCTTTAGAACGACAAAACCATGATTGGTCATAAAAGTATTCATTTAAATGGAAGCATCCTTAGGTATATACTGAAAGGAAAAAGAAACGCATAATAAACTTTTGAATAAAATTAAAACTTTTATTTCCAATATGTTTTCCAGTATTGTTATCAAACATTTTAATTCAACTTTAAACAACAAGTAACCGAAATCTTGTGTGACTTTGACTGATAATTCCTGAGTTATTGAAATTGATATGTCGATACCCTCCAAAATTAAAATAAAAATTCTCATCATCTCCCTTGCGCATCAGTAAAAGCCTTGATTTTCTTGTGCACTGAGTTCACCAGAGCATTTATCTTTCTCATAGGATTATCATTCAAGCCTTCCGGCTGTAGTCTTAATGATTGAGATTAGCTGTAATATTCCAAAGCCAACAAATCCCCCCGCCCAATGAATCTCACGAATTTTCGATTTAGGATTGAATTTACAGAATCTAGCTGATTTGGTACACAAATGTTTGTAAGGAAGAATCGACAAACACTAGCTACATTTTCCCAATGTGGACATGCTAAAAGCATTACGCATACGGCACGTACGTGCGCGTGTGAGAGTAAAATCGACGTAAAGTTGCCAAGCTTGTGTACCAAATTAGAGCAGAGAGTTTCTGTCAGAATTAGGGTAAAAATATGAGTAGGATTGCCTGCTGTAAAAATATCGGTTTCAGTGATAATGACTTGACAATAACCGAGGTATATAGCATGATGAAAAGCCCTATCTTGATGTGACGTTGTTACGCGCCAACGTCACCCTCATGGTAGGTTTGAAACCTTTTAAGTTACTCTCTGACAACCGAAAAAACTTTTTTGGTTGAAAAGTTAAAAACAAACTGCACAGCAACATGTCGTTGCCTTTTTATTCACTTATGCAACTCAATTACTAGACCCAATGTAACTTCCGTCAGCCATACCATGATTGCAAGAAATTTATACTGACTGCAAATATCGGAAAACGATGTCTATAACTCTAATGCATCTCTTGGCACTACAAAATGTGATCACAAAATTGTCATCATCAACATGCACGTGTATTTGGCATTTTATCACTTCCCCTACATGACACCATACATTTCATGGTTCAGTAATTTTGACCAGCGATTTTAGTGCACTGTAACCAAAATACACATCTGACCAATTTTCATAATTTTCGGCCACATAGTTAAATATTTTTGGCTATTATGCTATTATGCGTTTCTTTTTCCTTTCAGTATACATAGTGAAGATACAGATTTGTTCATATCATGACCCCAGGGTTATGCAAGCATCTTTATATGGTATAACCCATCCCCCTTTTAGGTTGTTGTTCGGGTGAGTGCTTTGGTCCATGGGTCTCTTGTTCATAATTTAACACATTTTCTACATGAGTGGGTCTTCATTTCCTTTTTTATTATTGAAAAAAATAATTGCCTAGAAAATATCCTGCATATATTTTTGGGAATTAGGGGCATAAATTGATAAAAAAAAAATATACAATGTAAAACATCTCGATATAATTCTCTATATACTTAATTGAATACAGTGTACGATTTTTATGTACGATTTGTATGCATCTGAACCTTCAGGCAATCTATGGGCCCTTTCTGCCAATTGATCTCCTTTGGTAGTTTCATGTATACATTCTGTACCATATACTGTATAGAAGACGAGAGTGTGCTGGAGCACTACACTTAGTATTTAAGGTCAGTCGAGACGTTCCTCAAAATCTGTTTTATATATCTTCGTAATGTATGAAAAATATTCAAAATCTTAATAACATTCTGATTTCTAAACCAGTTTGTAAACGTTTTTTAAAATTCCAAACACTTAAACATTTGAAATTGGAAAATTATTTTTCTTCCCCAAAGGATTATAAGAAAAACTACCCCTGGTATCTTTCAGAAATGCCTGGTAAGTTACCTCAATATTTTGTGAGTAAACATGTTTAAGTAGCAATACTTCAATGACAAACTCTTAGGAAAATTTATCTATTATTAAGGAACATCTCGTCTGTCCTTAATTCATGCGCGGATCTAGAGGGGGGGTCGGGGGAGTCAGGACACCCCCCCTGGAATTTACCAGTAAAAAAATGTATATACTAAAACAAGAAAATAGTAACCATGGACCCCCTTGGAAAACGCAGACCCCCCTGGTAAACGCGAATATGTTGTGAAATGGGTATGATAAGTGTGATAAGAGAAAGATTTGAGGCAACAGAAGTCACCCCTATCGCCCCCCCCCCGCCCCCTTTTTTTTTTTTTTTTTTTTTTTTTTTTTTTGTCAAGAAATTTCTGGGATTGGATTTTTTTTTTGACTGAGGTGGACCCCCCCCTGGAAAAAATTTCTGGATCCGCGGCTGCCTTAATTAAACTTCTAAAGTGAAATTACAACTTGCCGTTATAGATCTACGCAATCTATCTAACTTGCCAATTAAGGGATACAATCTAATATGTTATTCCCTTTGAACGTTGGATAAATGTTAGATTTTTATCTTTAATGAAGAGGAAACTTTCACATTAATGTACAAACTTATTTATATATCTGTGAGATTGTTAATTTTATGTGAATGACTTAATGTAAAGTTCGATTTAAATTTCCTTTTGATCATCATACAATTTAATGAACTACGCAATTTCTATCTAAGAAGGATATGGAAATAACGAACAGTATTCAATCTCAACGTCCATTAAACAAATATACAAAATAAGAGCAGAGCAAACACGGACCTCCGAAACATCAGAGGTGGGATCAGGTGCCATGGAGGAGTGAGCATCCCCTGCCGACCGGTCACACCCGCCGTGTGCTCGTTGTCATAATCAGGAAATAATGGACTAACAATTGGTATGAAAAACGTCAGTCAGCATTACATTCAATGATAAATTGTATTTGCTGACAAGGTCATTGTATCGACCATAGAATTTACGAAATGATGACTTTAAACGAGACTGTTGATATTCTTGTTTCATCAACTTGCTTGTCAATAATTTACCTCGTTTAAGAAATTGTTCATACGTAGAGCATGCTCTTGCGTATCGAATCAACTGAGATATAAATACTCCGTATGCAGGTGATGAAGGTATATTGCTGCATAAGTAAGGGAAGTTGACGATAGAAAAGTTAAAGTCATCACGTTTATCATATAGCTTGGTTGTTAGATTACCATTAGTGTCTTTTTCAAGTTAAATATCCAAGTATGAAGCAGAAGTGTCGGACTCTGTGGTATCTTTTATCTCAAGCTCACCAGGATAAATCGTGTCGACGTAGGAATGGAAATTATCATTATCTTTCAACAGTTTAGAGTTACAATATATGGTCGCTGACATACTTTTACTAACGACCGACTCTTCGTCAGATTTGGTTTGTGCAAATTCATATCAGACCTATAAAATGGATACACATCCCCCCACTACCCCACCTCGATATATGCTACACACGTGCAATAAAGCATGTACATGTGTGTAGATGTACATGTATATGTATGTACAGTGAATTAGATTATGATTCCAACTGTAAAAAGAAAACCTCATGTCATGAAAATGAACTTGATAATCTTCTAAATATAATATATATAGTATTATACATTTATTGACTGAATTCGAGGGCAACATGTGTTTTAAAACGCATTTTGTCCCAGAACTCTGTCAATACTAGTAAATGTATTGTTATACCTTTCATTTTATTTTATTTTATTGAGATTCATGTATTTTGTACTGTATTCCGTGATGGGAAATCAGGTCTATCACTGTTTAACACCAACGAATGAAAATGACATTAAGCTCCGCCCATTCTGTGACGTAAGCGGTCCAACATCTCTCCGAGCGGTCCAACATCGATTTCTTTTATGCCCGCTCAGTAAAACATTAAAAAAGTTAGACTTTTTTTCGTATAGATTTATATAGGAACAAATTTTTAAAGGTATAACAATTAAAGTTTTTTTTACTACATTTAATTATCAGTACAAAGTATATACAGTGTACAATATTATAAAAATTCTGAATTTACTAAACATTCATCGATCCAAATATATACCAGTAATCATAAGCGGATTTAGAGAGAGTCAGCCCTTTCCTTGGAGTTTTCAGAGTTGTCAAATTCATATGTAAAAGAAACGAATAAAATAACATTGAACCTATATATCCAAGCAAACATGAACCTCTTAAAGACGGCAAGGGAAGTCACTGTCAGACGAAAATTAAGTTTAAAAAGTGTCGCCCAGCCCCCTTTTCAATTTCACCTAACCATCCAACACAATATCGTTTTTAGAATTTGGCAAGGTATTTAACTCTTTCTTCTTTTTTTCATTTTGCATACAGCATGAAAAGATTTCTTAGTTTGGCATACACAGTCTTTGTAGAACCCCTTCCCGCCCCTGAAAAATTCCTACATCTGCTCCTTGGTGATGTCTTTTATTGGGGGTGTCTGTGATTAAACATCTGCAATAAATGTATAAAGCTACATTTTAAACAAATTTATATTGATTTTTCTGATCAAAAAAAAATCTATTATCTCTGAATTTAATGAAGATTAGTTTTTCGAACATTGATTGATTCCACTATTACAAGAGTTTATAGGAATCGATATCCTTATTCTTTAGCCTCGTAACGAAGCGGAAATGTGTTTGTTTCTCATGCGATTGAAATTGATTTGATTTGCGCAGATTTAATCGGGGGCTTTTTTTCGCGAGGACAAACCATAATAGATCTATACAATATCCAAACTGGAAGATGTCAAG